ATATATCTATCTCATTTTTTTGGGTTTAGTTTAGCAAAAAAAAAAAAAAACACGATGAATTAAACGCTTCCAAAAAAAGAAGAGGGTAATTCCGCCGTTTGATAATCAGATGGCGGCACGCGTATTATTTTGTATGGTTCAAGAACAGACATATATATACCTTTAGCCATAGACATAGTATATCTAGACCGAGTGTTGAGGAGTGGGAGCCGAGGTGCACGTAGAAAAGGACATACTCTGTTTCGTGCCCCTTGCGTTCTCTCTCGCTCGCACGTAGCATGATGAAAGAGAGCGCTATGCTCTGTGCGAGCGAGAAAGAACGCAAGGGGCACGAAACAGAGTATGTCCTTTTCTACGTGTATCTTTACCCCCACTCCTTAAATAAAGGCAAACGCTCGGTCTAGATATACTATGTCTATGCCTTTAGCATTGAAGTCAGTGATGCCAGTTTCGAGACGCTGCGCGCTGCGCTGCCCGCTGCCATAGTGTGTAGAGGGGATACGCACACAAGCGTGAATCGTGTAGATGTAATGCGCAGAACGTTCTGCGCATTACATCTACACGGTTTATGCTTGTACACTATCCCCTCTACACGCTGTGACTGTAGCAGCGTCTCGAAACTGGCATCACTGATCGAAGGTAGCGGTTAGCGTTTAGTATAATATATGGAAGTTTGGCCCTAATTCTCAGTTGAAAAACTTTATAGCTCCATAGCTATGTTTGTACAAAATACGACGATGCACGCTAGGATGTTCGTCAACTTTACATTTCCAAAAATTTTCCTTCAGCTCTTTCAACCTCGGATGTCTAATGTTATTGAGAGTTATTCTACTGCAATAAGGTAATAGACAAATTTTTGCATCGCGCGTCTAGAACGATAGCACGAATGTATAAAGTAGCAGAGTATGCATGTATATAAATTTGTCTGTGTAAGCCATAAAGAGAGGCTCTCAGCTTGTTTGGTAATGTAATACTTATACACAGAGAAATCAACGATCGTATATGTAATATATATGGGTTTCAAAAAAGATGTTACATTATTATGTTCACATTAGATGCGTAATTGCTCGAGTCTTTCATGAAATAAAGATATATACTCTGTATCTTATGGTATAAAACGAACATATAGAAAAAGTTTAAATAAAAAATAAAGTATAAAAAACAGTATGAAATCTGCCATTATATAAAGATCTGAAGAGGACGAGAGAGATGATAAAGATAAATTCTAATTTCAAATAATCTTCAAAAGATTCTTATTTTTATATTTATTAATTTAGAAATATTTCCTTGTCTTTTCCTCGTTAATTTCCTTATTTTAATTAAACTAATAATCTTAAAAAGAGAGCGTACGTTACTGTAAATAAATAATATAAAAAATATATTAAAATATAATTAAAAAAATGAATTATCTTATAGGAAAGAGGGAGAAAGAAGATAAGTGATATGATCAAAACAATTTTTGTTTGTGAACTTTTATTTATTTACAAATCTATGGAACACCAGCATGAATAAGAAGCTTACGGTAAATATTAAAAGCTTAATGAAACTTATAGTACAGCTGTTAAAGATTAATAATTTTAAAAACTATTAAGAAAATAGTCTTAATAAAATAGTATTAATAGTATAAATCTGTAAAATAAATTTTGGCAGTCTTTTAATCGCGATGCATTTTTGTTTATAAATGATAAGCAATTTGTTGGTAATAATGGAAAAAAAACTTTCATATACCGTATTTAAAAGACAGAAGTTAAATGTATTTTATTATAACAAAATCTTTATTTTAAGTTTATGTATATCAAAACATTTATTAATATAAAACACAGAATTATGAAAAAAACTGTGCAATAAGATTTTTGTTAAAGAAAAATATATAGTCGATAGACAACACGCATAATGTCTGAATTAACAGTTTACATATAGAATATAAACATACATCCGACTATTTAATAAAATATTGATCATGCCGAAATTGAGAAAAAAACAATAATTTTGAATAACCAATAAAACTTTTATCGTATAATTTTTTTCAGACTTTATAATTTTACTCTTAACAATATTTTTTTTCATATTTTTTATGTAACCAAAAATTTATTCTTTTCCAAATGCTCCACTTCATATAAATAAGTTCAGTAAAAATAATTACACAAGAATGGTAACTTCCATTTTATCAAGTGTTTGTGTATGTGTTTTATGTACAATTGTATATATTTTGTAATTAAACTTATAAAATAGTTTTTCTCCCTCTTCCTTTTTTTCAAAAAACGAAAAATTGAATGATAAAATTGTGTACAATTTTTTATATTTTATGATAATAGATTTATAAGTTTTAAAAATAAGAATTTCGATTTTAATTTACAGACTAGAGAGATAGATACGCAGTTAATTAAATACATGTTCTTATTTTTTTACTGTGTTGATGTAAGTATTATTGTTTCACTAATGCGTAAAAAATTTAATATAAAAGTAGTACAATTAAACCACATTTCTCAATTATTGCAGCGTAATATTTTTGCAATACTTTCGATATGTTACTACAGTATATTGCTGTAGCTTGCTGGAATTTTGCATTTCAACAACGTTTCCATAAAATTTTATTTTAATTTATAATTTTGCTGTAATGTGACAAAGAAAATTCTTACGCGAATATTTGTTTTGAGAGAGAGAGAGAAAGGAAGAGAGAGAGAGAGAGAGAGAGAGAGAAAGAAATGTTATAAACAACATCATAAAAAGATTACATAAACTTATAAATGGATTTAAGATAGTATATGAAAATAAATTTCTCAAATTATAAATATATATACACATGGATGAATTATAAGAAAAAATTATCTATGATAGTGTGAAAACAATATTCATATATATTTGCATATTTTTATATAAACTTGTAATAAATAAAAGAGCTATAAAAACAATATATTACAGTATAACTTTTTAATATGAAAAACATATTGTTTTCATAATTTTTATATGTGTAATATTAATTTGTAATTTATTTTATATTTATATATATATACACATACATTTATATATATATATATATATATATATATATATATATATATAGAGAGTGTATATATTAAGTGAGCCAACAAGTTAGGCAAGAGAGATACGAGGTTTATCAATAATAAATTACAAGGGGTGGATCGCAAATATGGACCGGGAATTTCTGGAGAGATCTATAACTATGAATGTGATTGGGGGAGAGGGTAGAGGGTGGAAGGGGACCAAGTGAGAAAATACAAAGGAGAGATACACAAATAGAGGTTAGCTACAAGTTTTAAACGACTACTTTATTGGCAATTTTTCTAGGAAGAGAGAGAGAGAGAGAGAGAGAGAGAAAGAAATGTTATAAACAACATCATAAAAAGATTACATAAACTTATAAATGGATTTAAGATAGTATATGAAAATAAATTTCTCAAATTATAAATATATATACACATGGATGAATTATAAGAAAAAATTATCTATGATAGTGTGAAAACAATATTCATATATATTTGCATATTTTTATATAAACTTGTAATAAATAAAAGAGCTATAAAAACAATATATTACAGTATAACTTTTTAATATGAAAAACATATTGTTTTCATAATTTTTATATGTGTAATATTAATTTGTAATTTATTTTATATTTATATATATATACACATACATTTATATATATATATATATATATACAGCTAAAGGGAATGAATATTGAACGATCGAAATAATTGTAAAAACTCATAGTTTTAGTGTTAAACCTGAAATTAAAATTATTTTTTCTTTGCCGAAACACATCTGTATTTATAGACATTTTTATGATCAAGGAAAAAGAGAGACATACTTGAACGCTAGAGCAGATAATTTAAATATCATACGTCAAAAAAGTGGCATTTTTGTATTTTTAAAAAATGCAAAGAGCACTAAAAACTTTCTATTTTGTGGAATACGATTTATACTACTTAAATATGCTATTCAAATATATATTTCTCTTTTCCATATATATAATGCACATCTGTCGTATTTAAAAATCAAACCAATGATTTACAGTAAATTGGATACACCGGCGTACACGAATAAACACAAAAGCATATATATAGAGATATTGAGCACAATTTATCACATAGTTGGCAGAATGTTTATCGAAAATTTTATTAATATTAAGGTGCTTATAATAATATGTTTTTGCAGTTAAATAGATTTGTGTGCAGCAGCCTCTAATAATCGCACTAGAGCATGCACCAGCGGTATCGATATCGTTATCGGATACACAGGAGCGAACCTCGCCGAGATATCACCCACGTGAAAGATCAACACCACTGAACGTCTAATTCCCATGCTTGCCGATAATAGCCACAAGAGAACAGGATGACAGAAAGTTCTCTTCGCGCGTACCTCTCTCGCTCGAAAAGCGTGCAGGAATCTTAGCAAGAGCTTGATGCTTGCAAACTCGTGGGATTTGCGTCGTGAGATTCGGATTTGTACGCTTGGTGGCGGATGCGTGACAGCCGTGACGCAGATTCGAAAAGTACCGTCGGCCGCTGAGCCTCGACGAGGATTTCGGCGCCGGTGCCGGCGAGGAACATTTTTCCATCATTAGTTTTTCCCCGCCCCTTCGTCTCCAGCTCCGCCCGATGGGTGGTTCCTCACAGCCGCTATGATCTCGGGAGACGCAGCCACGCGATTACTCCGATAGGTAGATACGCGCCGACGCGTTCCACGCCGGCACCAACGACATCACGGCTGACGCAGTGGGCTTGTTTCGTCATGGATCAAAACGGTAACCGATGCGATCCAATGAGCGAAGCGACGGCACGTCCGCACCACCCGATTGGCGGCGCTCGTCCAATGGCCGTACGGTGGGTCTCCCAGTATCTACTTCCCCCGAATCGCGGTCTCTCCGTGCCTCTCCACGGCGTATGGAAACCCTTCTCTCACACGCAAAAGGGGACATCTCATCACGACTCTTGGTAGCAGGCACTTCTCCGTAGTGGGCACTCCACTCATCGTGTCGTCGTACGGGTTCTCCGCGAGAGGCTGCGGGGCCTGTGTGCCCGGGCGGGCGAGCGAGTGAGCGAACGAGCGAGCGCGAGCGGGCGAGCGCTGGTCGAGTGGGTCTAAGCGGCCGTGAGGACCTCTCCAGGAGTACCCGACAGAAGTCCTCTCCATTCATTCATCCATCCATCCAGCCAAGCCAGCCAAGCCAGGCAAGGCAGCCACCCAGCCAGCCAGCCAGCCAGCCAGCCAGCCAGCCAGCCAGCCATCCATCCATCCATCCATCCATCCATAGAGCAGGCTCTTCTCCTACGGAGAGAGTGTATCCTCGACGAAGGTGGAGGCGAAGCGTAGAGTGGTACATCTACCATCGTCTCTCTATCGGCGGAATCCAAGGACTCAAAGACCCCCGTGTGATTTCAGTCGGCCGCCGGCCGGCTCTGGCCGGCCACTATCCTCGACCACGTGTGTGTAAGGTCGCCGTGTAAGGTCGACAGCTCTTTCGACTACGTTCGCGCGTGCCACCAGGATTTTCGAAAGGCAACAGCGATACACGTCGATCACGCTCTCTCGTCCCAACGGTATCGAGAGATTTAACAATATATCTCGGGAGCCATCCGAGTCGGCCGCCGGCCGACTGCGCCATCGATTTTTCTACTCGGTGATGGTCGTTGTTCATACATCATGCGGTTGAAGCGATTCTTCGTCCTCGATGTCCTTGCAACTTGCAAGGGCTGTTTCTAGGAAAAGGGAGCACCGAGAGAGAACGAGACGACGCGAATAATGATAAATACGTGAATAAAGCTGTATATACATCAATTAAAGTGAAAAAAAAACGCGCAGTGAAAAAAGATGAACATGTTAAGTTCGATAACCGCTGAGAAGAAACATTCATGATATTTCGTAGATCGAGTACTTTTAGTGAAATAATCGTGCTTGTGTGTACAAATTTCTGCTCTCGCAAGCTATGCGCGCGTTTAAACGCAATCAGGATCACAGAACGGGACCAGGATCGCTGGATCGCGGTGGATAATTGCGAGCTTTATATCAGTTTCGGGGGATAAAAGGTTCCGGTGTTGGTGAAAAAAAAAAAAAAATAAATAAATAAATAAATAACGGAATCTTATTGTGCGCGTCGCGTGAGATCTGTCGCTCAATATAAATGAGCGACTGTTGTGTCATTGTGTGATTAACTAAGTCAATCTCGGATCTTGAGCGATTTCGATCGTTCGCGCGAAGGGACTATCTGAAAAATTCCACAAGAAGCGAAGATTAAACGTTCGCGCAGGAAAATCCGAAATCAATCGATCGTTCGTCGAGGAATCGAGGAAGCTACGTTGGCCGGCGATCGCGAGCGAGAGAAAGAACCAGTAGCGTCGTAATGTCGCGCCGTTGTTACGTCTAGCGCCGGCCTCATCATTCCGCGAAGCGCGAGCTTCAAGTACTTCGACGGCGTCGGGCTTGCCGAGATGAGCGGCGGCAGCGGCGGCGGCGGTGGCGGTGGCGGTGGCAATCAAGGCGGCAACGCTAATGCTACGACCTATCATCAGCACCAGCAGCAACAGCAGCAGCAACAGCAACAACAGCAGCAACAGCAGCAACAACAGCAACAGCAGTCGCAACTGGAGCAGGCTGGTCTGCTGTCTGATCTCAATGGCATCGATCTGGCGATGAGCCTGTCGCCCAAACAGCATTCATCCCACGTACAAACAGCCGGTGGTGCTCACACGACGCCGTTCAGCGTTACTGATATCCTGTCGCCGATCGAGGAGTCTTACCGGAAGCTCGAGCTAGCCGCCGCCGCCGCTGCCGTCGGTGTCGGCGTTGTCACGCATTCCCAGGCCTCGCCCTACGGGAACGCTTGCGGTGCACGGGTGGGCGGCAACACCGGTAGCTCGAGCGCGAGCAGCGGCAGCCCGCCGTTGCACGGCGGCTCGACGCCCGGCGGCAGCACCCCCGGACCGGTTTCCTCCGTTGCCAACGGGGCCATCCCCGGCGGCGGCGGTAGTGCCGGCGGCGGCATGAGCATGGGTAATCCTTACGCCACTATGCAACTTACGTCGCAATACCAGTACTGTGCCGCGGAATTGTCGCCGTACCATCACGCCGGGCCCGGCGTCGGCGCCACGGCTACGGCAGCGGACCCCATGCGGTCCCACGCGGTGTCGTCGCATCACCATCCTTGGTACGCACCGGCGCCACCGGCCACCAACGACCCGCGCTTCGCCAGTGAGTAGATTTTTCTTTATTCTGAACAATTTGCAAGAATTATGATTTATATATAAGAAACATTTTTCGAGAGATTTAGATTTATAAAAGGATTTTTATATGTTGGAAAATGCTCGAGAAAATAGCTCAATTAAGATAATTTCCATAGACGTATATATGAATACATATAATATGAAAGATTCGTAAATAAGAAATGAGTACCTTTGTCTCTTTACTTGTGAGAAAAGGAATAACAAAATGTCGAGTATCATCAGCACCAGCAGCAACAGCAGCAGCAACAGCAACAACAGCAGCAACAACAGCAACAGCAACAGCAGTCGCAACTGGAGCAGGCTGGTCTGCTGTCTGATCTCAATGGCATCGATCTGGCGATGAGCCTGTCGCCCAAACAGCATTCATCCCACGTACAAACAGCCGGTGGTGCTCACACGACGCCGTTCAGCGTTACTGATATCCTGTCGCCGATCGAGGAGTCTTACCGGAAGCTCGAGCTAGCCGCCGCCGCCGCTGCCGTCGGTGTCGGCGTTGTCACGCATTCCCAGGCCTCGCCCTACGGGAACGCTTGCGGTGCACGGGTGGGCGGCAACACCGGTAGCTCGAGCGCGAGCAGCGGCAGCCCGCCGTTGCACGGCGGCTCGACGCCCGGCGGCAGCACCCCCGGACCGGTTTCCTCCGTTGCCAACGGGGCCATCCCCGGCGGCGGCGGTAGTGCCGGCGGCGGCATGAGCATGGGTAATCCTTACGCCACTATGCAACTTACGTCGCAATACCAGTACTGTGCCGCGGAATTGTCGCCGTACCATCACGCCGGGCCCGGCGTCGGCGCCACGGCTACGGCAGCGGACCCCATGCGGTCCCACGCGGTGTCGTCGCATCACCATCCTTGGTACGCACCGGCGCCACCGGCCACCAACGACCCGCGCTTCGCCAGTGAGTAGATTTTTCTTTATTCTGAACAATTTGCAAGAATTATGATTTATATATAAGAAACATTTTTCGAGAGATTTAGATTTATAAAAGGATTTTTATATGTTGGAAAATGCTCGAGAAAATAGCTCAATTAAGATAATTTCCATAGACGTATATATGAATACATATAATATGAAAGATTCGTAAATAAGAAATGAGTACCTTTGTCTCTTTACTTGTGAGAAAAGGAATAACAAAATGTCGAGCCGTATATCTGACGCGAATGGAAAACCTGAGAAAATTTTCGAGAAAAAATTGAACATATATGTATACATATAGGTACACGGAAAAAAAAATTATTAAGTGCAACAGCAAACCGTTTTGCTGTAGTTTAGAAATTTATTTTGCAAACCATGATTAGCTATGGTAGCGGAAATTTTTTTTTTCCCTGTGATCTTTGAAATTTTCATTAACAAGAAAGTTACAGCTATTGTGAAGTATATGATACGCGCATCGGAAAATGTGTCTTAAAAATATTAACATTTTTCGAGAATCGCAGTAAAATTATATATTGAAAATGAGAATATCAAATTTATAAAAATAGAATCGAAATGTTATTTAATTCTCTATTCTTTTCTTTTTTCGCAATCTCTAATTTAATTTAAAAATCTCTACTTTATAGCAGTAAAATATCAAAATCCGACATCAAAGCGCGTGCAAATGACATATAGATGATTAAAATAATATTTTCTGTGAAAGTTTTGTTTATTTTGAACAATTTGCAAGAATTATTATGATTTATACATACATAAGAAACATTTTACAGGAGATTTAGATTTTTAAAAGGATTTTTATAAATTGAGAAATGTCTAAAAAAATAGCTAAGAGAATTGAGATAATTTCCACAAAGAAAAGATTCATAAATAAGAAATTAAAGAAGATGACTTATAAAAGCGAAAGAGAGAGAGAGAGAAAAAACGTGTCATATATATTGATATAGAACCAGAAACAGGAAGGCATTAATACGAACGAATTATCGGTTAACGAACAGTTCTCTCTTTCAATATATTTCACTTAATAAACTTTACGAACTAATTATAAAAAAATTTACTCTTATTAAAATATGTCTTATTAAATGGCTTTGCAAGTTTTTTCTTAAATATATTATTGTTTGATATAAAAAAAGTAGCTATGCCAATTGTAACGAATAAACGTAAGGGATAATTTTTATTCGAGATTCGAAGAGCATCTCTAGAATTAGTTACCAGGTCAAATCACTCAAAGTGAATAAGTTTAATTTTTACTAATTAGAGAATAATAATTATTGAAACGTTATGGATGTAAAACAGAAATATCATATCAGTATGTTTTGACAACCTTTACACACAACGTATTATGGCCAATTTATAAAGAAATATATTTGCAGAGAAATTATTTATAAAATGTCTCTTTAATGACAATTACATATTGAATATAGAATTTCTATTATCCAACTATTTGAAGAGAGCACGAGATACTCAATCTTTCTGGGTAATTGAAATATGAAACATTGAAACTATGTTTTAAAATATTTTAAAAAGGAACAGATATTTGTAACGGAACAAAAATGATGATAATAATTTAACTGTTTTCTTCACACCTTCCATTTTATTAAAATCAAATCAGATATAATGTTATGTTTGTTATGTTTGATATAAGTTTATACATCAGCATTTTGTTTGCAATTCGCATAATAATTCCAGGAATTTATATCATTTTTATGTTGTGAAGACTAAATAATTTATATTTATATTTTTATTAAAGGGATATTAAACGGTCAAAAAATAGTGTCAATGCATTAAGATTAAGCGAATTCAAAATTAATTCGCTGTAGCGCAATTAACCGCGATATACGATACAAGATATTTTTTTAGAAAATTAAACACGCTTTATTTAATGGTTTTATCGATAGGTAAACGAATAGGATACAAAGATTTTTTTTTTTTTTAATTACTCTAGAGAGCAAATGCAGTTCTAATTATTTTTCTTACCTGAGGAGAGTCGATATGTCTCTAAGCGATTATATTATATAATTAATGCGAATGAGAGATATATATTTTTTAAATATACTTTACATATTTGTCATTAAATTTATTTGTAAAATACATACGTAGACACTCTGTATGTGTAACGGAGTAATTTATTTATTTTATCTTTCACATATACAATGCTCTTTAGCTTTGAACCGTACACTAAATTTTCATGAAAAGCTTTCACAGTTAAGAATTCAATGTCGATATGACTCTGTTATCTTCGTCTATTCGCTTAAATGGCTTTATGATTTTTAATGGAGGGAATATTTTATCAGGTACATTTACACACATACACACACACACACACACACACACACATACATATACATGCACATTTACATGTTCGTCGGACGAGCACAAAAAGCCTTCGCGTACCTCGTCTACATATTGATTAATTCAGTGGCTGCTTCGACGGATTACGGACAGTTAGTCTGTCCGCTAAACGTTACCGAGTTATCGAATGCAAACAGTCATTCTGTCAGCCTGTTAAATGAGTTTCGAGGGGTCTGTATTTATCGGAGAGGCACACGGCGTAGTTTCATAGAATACGAACAGTGTGTTGTACCTTCAAAGACGCGCGTTCTGTCTGACGATCGTTAGCATGAAAACCGGCATCGCATCAACGATCTACACCTGTTATTTAATCGCCGATGGAAAAATTGACGAGTGAAATCTTTAGGAATCATGCACGCGAGTCAAATCGTTATCGGATATATGTATATTCAACGAATTAATCTTATATCTTGCACTTTGTGTAGAAATGCCGGAAGCAATGCTTCTTCTGAAAAGAAAGAGGGACATGCACGCGAGTTATCGGATATATGTATATTCAACGAATTAATCTTATATCTTGCACTTTGTGTAGAAATGCCGGAAGCAATGCTTCTTCGCTTCTTCT